AGGATGCCCCCCCCCCCCAATCATTCCAGCCTTCCTCCGGCAGCCTGGAGGGCGACAGGCTAGATCCGGTAGTGTCAATTCCGCCCAGAAGTGGAGGCTTCCGGGACAAACAGTCTGACACCTTAAAGCGCCGGTGTTTCGACTGAGAATTAAGCCACGGCCAAAGGACTTTTTGGGGTACGAAGCATCTCAGAGTTTCCGCGTCTTCCGCAGGGAACCCAAAGCTCACTCAAACCGCCATTCCCTCCCCGCCTATTTAGGGTCTCGGTGAGGATCTAGCCGGGGACTAAATAATCCTGGACCGCGCTGTCCTCCTAAAGGACAGGAGGTCCCCTATTCGAATTACCCTAACCCGCTCCCACGCCGTTCGGGGTGGATGTGTGTGCGTGCGAGGCAAGGGCACTCCTCTTCAAGGCAAGATCCCAAACCCAAACTAGGCCACACTAGGAGGACCATCTCCGGTAACAGCAGCCATTCCCTGGGGCTGGGGCCGTCCTTTCGTTTTGCTTGCCGCGCATGAGGACCTCAGGCGCTGGCCTGGATCCGACCAGGGCTCCCTCGAGGAGTTCCGCGACCTGATTCCGGCCGGCAGGATCGCGACAGACGCGCTGGGCACAGAGGAGGGGGCGTTTCCCTCGCGTGAGCTCCAGTCGGCGGGGCTGGGAGCCGCGATGGGTCCCGCCGGCGTCCCCTGGCTGCGAAGGACCCGGTCCCCGACGCCTCCTCCCGGCCCACAGACGCACCCTCGAGCGCCCTCCCCCCCGTCCCCGGCGCCCGGGCCCCCCTTACCGGCTCGCGCTTCCTCTTGGCGTCGCGGGGCTCGGCCTTCTTGAGCTCGGCCTTGAAGCCCTCGGCGGCCGGCCGGTCCTTGGCCAGCACCTCCATGAGGTAGGCGATGTAGCTGGTGGCCAGGCGCAGCGTCTTGATCTTGGACAGCTTGGTGTCGGCCGGCACGTTGGGGATGCACTCGCGCAGCTCGGCGAAGGCGCTGTTCAGGCTCTCCGTCCGCCGGCGCTCCTTCCGCGGCCCCCCCGCCGCCGCCCCCCC